GCTTCTATAAATCAAAAGGAGACTGTGAACAAAGCAGAGGCCACAACATATTGGTTTTTATATCTATGTTTAAAATTTGGAAGCCTACTGTTCTGATAACAATGTAATTTGAAAGAAATGGATCCCAAACGGGAAACATCAGAGCTTGCGGTCAGACAATCGACTCAGGCTTAGAATAAAAATCCTCTAAGCCGGCCAAAATACATGCTGATAAAACTCAAATGATTAAGGAGCAGATTAAGGTAAGAATAAAAATGGGATTAAGTATTAGTTTAAGGTTTTGTCTCACTTAAAACAGACGCCCTATCTGGGTCCTGAAGGGCCATTGATTTCTTATGCTTCTTTCGTTTCACTTTCTCCCGGGCTTGGTGCAAGAGACGGCCTTCGTCACCTTCAATGGGCGAAAGGGCCGGGGGGGCCAGTGGTCTAAGTGATACAGTGGCTGATGAAGCGACTGGTCCAGGTGATGGGCAGCGAGAGAAGGGCGGAGTGGATGAGGAAGAGGACGAGGAAGTATGTGTGGATGTGGAAGCCGAGAAATTCAATGAATGGTACAAAATGTCTCTTGGTCCGGAAGCCTCATATTCTAGACCCCCACACGACGTAACTAAATGGCTTAGTGAAGGCGATTTTTCCATAGGGTGTGATGGCGCGGTACGAGCACACCAACCGGTATGATAGATATTAGAGTCGTCATCGCTGTCGGATATAGATTGACCATCGGCTGTCATCGACACAAGGCTTTCCGTCCAACCAAGCGGTAGTGCCAATTCATCAGCAAAAAGTTCTGCTCTTGAAACACGTCGCTGCAACTCGGGCCGCCACCGGCCTGACAAAGCATCCACCTCCTCCTCACTTGCCTCTTTGCTCTTTACCTGGTCTTCATTTTTTCCATGTCGAGAAAGGAGTTCATCCGCAGTATTGGAAACGCTGGCTTGACGCCTCATCCCTGGCCCGGTAAATTTCCAGCCAGATGGTGCATCTGACCGGCCATTACTGCTACCTCCATTGGTACATGCGATGGCGCTCGTCCCAGCACTATTGGACAACATAAGAGTGCAATCCGTCTCATGACTTATATCACCGGAATATCTGGACATAAGGAAGCCGAAGTTAGAACATTTTTCATTAAATAAACTATTCAATTAATTGATAAGAATAAATTGACAAATAATGGTATATCACAGTTATAGATATAAACAGAAGCCTACTTAAAAAACTAAAAGAAACGATATTCACAAACCATAAAAGTTTTGCATTT